ATTCTGAGGTACTTTACATGTTGCTTCCTGCTATTTCCTCCCATTTATAGGGAAATATTACTTTTTAATATTTGAATTTTTGCAGATGAATGATGTGTTATTATAGACAGGTTAACATAAGGCTTCACTGATTTCAAGAGAGAATTTCACAAGCTACCCAGCAGTATGTACCTTAACTAGCTTAAACATTACAGTGTACATCAAACATTATTATTCAATAATTAAATATACATTTTTTAGGAAGATTACCATTTTGATGAGTATTTATACTTTTGTTAATATAAGTATATATCATTAAAATGTCATTTAATTTTTATTAAAAATATCTCCTTAAAAGTAATCAGATATTTGCTTAAACAGTATGTGTTGTTGTTAGTTACTAACACAAGCCCTTAAATAACCTGGTCATGTGATTTTGTTCTGTCTTAATTAAGTGATATGACATTGACACACAGCTACACAAGTCTTTTTGCAATTTCAGAAGTTCAAAAGCTTCTTGGACTGTGATAGATTAACAGAGAAGTTAGATATTTTCTAAACACATTCTAGAGAGATTGAGAGAGCAAAAGCATTGACATTTTGTTTGGTTTCTTGATCCAAAATGTTTTGCCACAGTGTTTGAAGCTTTCATATATCTGACAGAAAGTAGGAAGTGAAATAATGCATTGAGCATGGGAACAAGTACTTCTTCAACTTCAGTATATAACATCAATAAAATGGAAGAGCAACCCTCAGAAATAAACTAAAAGTGTTTTAAAAAATAGCCACAGTACAAGAGTTTAGGGTTTTAGTTAACACACTTACTTACGTACTTACTTAAGTAAGTACATTTATTAACAAGCCACAGTAAGCAAGCTACATCAGATCTGATGCTCAAAGGGCGCCCTTTCAGCGCCCTGGCCTGTGTATCTGTGAGTTGTTTAGACTCGTATCCAAGGTGACGCTACAGTGGGGGATGGCTGCGACTGCAGGTTTAGACTCCGGTGCTAGTGGATCGCCGGAGCTGTAGATTAACATTTGCATTCTTATTGTAGTTGTAAGGGCAATGCCTGTAGCACCATGGAGCATATGTGTGGGCTGGACCTGTATTTTACAGGAAAGGAGTGATCAGAGGGTCGAGTTGTCGATTCTTGTTCAGTTTTCATCTTCCTCACCCTCTCAGACTTTGAGCTGCGCGCGCTGCTAAAGAGACGCGCTACCATGGAAACCAAACAATGGTGTAGCTGTATTAAAGTCCGAGTGGAAACAGTCGTGAGTAAATCTGATTTTGTCAGAAATCGGGAGAAATGCGGGAGTCTCCCGCGAAAATCGGGAGGGTTGGCAAGTATGACTGACACACACACACACACACACACGGTTTTGTCACCATTTACATAGCCCCACCAAAAATATTTTCCACCAGCCGCCACTGTATATATATATATATATAAATAATACTTACATACTTTTACTTCCCATTTCATGCTTTTCCGGTTATTACCCGTCCCCTTGTGTGTTATGAAGGTTTTTCTGCATGTAAACGGTCTGCAAAGTCACAAACCCTCAAAGTACACCCTGTAGCGAATAAAACTCTAACACGGAAAAGACCTGTCTATGCTGCCCCAGAGCGCCTCGTTGGAGATTTCTCTTTTTCTTCCTGGGTACAGTGACGTCACCATACCCAAATGGACCAATCCGTGGAGCTCCTCACACACACATACTCTCTCAGCTGTGAAACTGTGACGCGCTGGGGGGGTGCTAGTGGAGCCTCACAGTGGCGAAACTGTGGCGCGCTTACACTGTAGGTGCGCCGTGTTTGGGGGTGCGGGTGCTAGTGGACACGGCACCCAGACCCCAAGCAGCATTCTCATCTGTTTGTCATTACTGGTGTCATTTTCGGGTTGCTAACGCCATTGTAACACATAATCACAGATGTTCCGCTGTAATGGTGGTGGACTCATCAGAGCACAGTGGGCTCACAGGGAGGGGGAGGCAGGAGCTCCAACAAGCCGTTTAGGACAGAGTGAATACACATACTATACAGAGATGCTGTATGAGAAACCAATGTGAGTTTGGAAAATTGCACAATATAAATCTATTCTAGTAGACCTCAACAATGGAATTATGATCAGTAGAAATGGCCATGACATGGGACCTTTAAAATACAAAGTGGCATTTATTCACCCACCATGTAATTTAGTGCAAAACCTTCACCCCATTTTAATTTTTTGATGGTAAATTATTTTACAAATAGGGATGGGAAAGAAAAACTGTACGGTGAAAAGATACAGACTGCCAAAAAAAAGGAAATTGGTCAAATTGATTTAAAATGATAAACTACCATATATAGTACAATATGTATCCCACAAGATATTTAAATCATCGCTGGTTTTGGATGTTTTTAAGAGACCAAATATTGACTATATTGGGGATAACTGTTCAAATCAAGGTGTTAAAAGTGGCTTCCTAACAGTATTTTTGTAAGTATAAATAATGTACAGTTTAAGAGTTAAACAAGTAAAGGCAGTATGGGTCAGAGTAACTTAATGACAAAATACCAACATGGCCATTTCCATATATGGTGGTTTTTACTTCGCTCAAGCTGCTGGAAAATGAAGCTTCCTCATTCAAGTAAAAGAGCTTCACCACATGACGCACAGTGAGAAATGTGTCAGGTAAACCGGATACATCCACTGAACCAACAGTAAATGTGTGACATTTTGGTATGGGAACAGCAACACACTGCTGCTGTGATGGATTACCATTCAAACAGTACAAAAGATTGTGTTCAGATAACACATGTTGTTGCTTTGTAAGCACAGGTTATTATTTCAAACATTATTTAGAAAATGAGGGTAGATATTGTTTGTCAATGGAGATGATTGTTGTCCTTTAAAATCACATGTTATTTGTCCAATCACCAGTTACACCAGCCTATACAAATGACCCTTGGATTTCATGTTTGTTTTCTTTTTGCAATAAATCAAAAATACATCCAAAATTAAAACAAACTCCTGAAAATTAAGTAGGTAAAAAACTCAAACCTGACTGGAAAGCCAGGACTATTCAGTGGTGCAGCCAAATTACTTTAAGAAATGAGAAGAAAAGTTATCAGGAAGATGCAATAGCTGGTTATGCTGATGTTCTTATTTTCTTCAATTGCAGAAGATATTGCAGAAGATAAAGTGGAGGTCGACAGGAAGACATGAGGACATCAGCTGGGCTCAGCTCTGTGGCCTCACAGAAGGAACATTTCTATCCCCATGCCAGTGTGGTGTCCTTCCACAGACCACAGTCCCAAAAAATATGCAGTTTAGGTTAATTGAGGACTCTTAATTGCCAATTTGTGTGTTTTTATTCATATTTGTATTCTTCGGTCCTTTGTTTATATTCAGTGAAGGAAATAATTATTTGATCCCTTGCCGATTTTGTAAGTTTAACCATTTACAAAAAAATGAACAGTCTATAATTTGAATGGTATGATTCTCTCACTAATGAGAGACAGAATATCAAAAAGAATATCCAGAAATGTACATCATATAATTAATTGTGGGAAATAAGTATTTGATCCCCTTGCAACAAACAAGAATTCTGGCTCCCACAGACGGGTTACATAAGTCATCTTCCTTTAATTAAAAAGTATCCCTCATATCAACTTGTTACCTGTATAAAAGACACCTGTCCACAGAATCAATCAATCAGATTCAAACCTCTCCACCATGGGCAAGACTAGAGAGGTGTCTAAGGAACTCAGGGACAAGACTGTAGACCTGCACAAGGCTGGGACTGGCTACAAGATCATCAGAAAGCAGCTTGGTGAGAAGGAGACAACTTCTCACCATGGAGGTGGAAACATTATGCTTTGGGGGTGTTTCCCTGCTCAGGGGACAGGACAACTCACTGCATCGAGGAGAGGATGTACGGGGCCATGTAGCATGAAAATCTTGGCCGATAGCCTCCTTCCCTCAGTCAGGACACTGAACATGGGTCATGGAGGGGTCTTCCAGCAGAACAATGACTCTGAACATACGGCCAAGGCAACACAGGGGTGGCTAAAGAAGAAGAGTATTTAGGTGATGGAGGGGCCTAGCCAGTCTCCAGACCTTAATCCTATAGAAAATCTGTGTAGGGAGCTGAAGCTTCCAGATGCCGAGCATCAGCATCAAAACCTGAAGGGTTTGGAGAGGATTTTCTGCTAATAAGAATAGGGGTTAGGGGGGTGAGACAGATAATCATTATCGGGACGACCAGCCGCTCTCCCCGACAGGCGCACGGACGCGAGGGCCCGCTCATCACTGCGCGCACATCTGTGACCGCAGTTTTAATTATTGTAATAAAGTACATTTGTCTAATAATACTTACATACTTTTACGCAAATTTGGTTAATCATGGGTATACCTAACTGAATGCTGGAATGATAACTGCGTTTTTAAGTCAAAAATATATTTGGAAAAATACATGATAAGGATATAATGCACTTGTGTGACAAAAAGTTCACAATGTATATATCCTCTGTAATGACAGGAAAACTAAATGTGCCATTCATTAAAGTGCATTATTACATGGCTTAGTTGAATACTCGATTCTGATTGGTCAATTCAGAACACGTGACACGTTGTTAATACCGAACAGACAGACCGCTGTCAAGGAATTATTGACATTTGTTAAGGACGCTCACATCTGCAGAAAGAAGTCCGTTCGATTTAACTGTATACAGTTTGGCCGAAAAGCAAACTGCTTTCAGTTTGCTTTTCTTCATGCCGATCTAGATCCCTCCACTTCGCGTCGGGCTCCTGATCAGCCTGTCGGTGTTCTTTTCCCCATAATGACCGCGTCGCAGCACATTATCCCTTACTTCAACAAGTCACAAGCTCACATGCAGAAACACACTCGCACACACATGCACACATACTATATATATAATATCTGTGAGATCACAAAGGCAATCAAGACTCCTCCTCCACATTAAACTATAAGTTGGGGCAGCTATTCTGAGCTACTGAACAGAGCTTGCTGTCAGCATTCACGGTAAGACCCCTGAGTTCTCCCCATGAATCTAATAGTTTGAGTGGAATCATTTTTTCTTACAATTTCTAAGTCTTTAGGACCAATTTACACTGACATTTTGAACATTTCAAAAGTACATTGTTTGACAGATTCAGTGTCTTATGTTCCTTTCTATTTATTCCATACAGATGACAAGGCTGTGGCCTCTCCTGCTCCTGTGTGGGTTATGGAGTCCTCTGTGTCTGTCAGCAGGTGTAAGCTACATCGGGACACCCCAGGAGTGTGCAAAGGCGGAATTTGTCCCAGGTTACAATCTGGGTGGAGAAGGCTTCGACATCGTCACAATGGAGCGGAAAGGGGCCTATGTCATTGACATGCAAACATGGAATCTTGGCAATGGCACTTGTAGGCTTTACAGCAACAGCATAGCGAACAGAGAGAAACAGAAGGTCCCAGCCACCGTGATCGACTGGAGAATCTACCCAAAGTGCAATCTACATGTCTCCAGCCTACTCTACGATTCGGTCGAAACTCTCGCAAATGACACCACGTCATCGGTGTCCAATAATTGGAAACTTGGCCTTAAACTCCCGGTAGACCCTTCTGTCAGTCTTGGTGTTGGCTTTGGGGGTTCCCACTCCAAAGAGACACAATTTGCCATCGAGAAGTCGAAAAAAGACCGCTACACCTTCTTCAGCCATTCTGTCGACTGTCGCTTCTACGGGTAAGTGTGTGGACTGATATTCGTCCTCTAGACTTTAACTCTGAAATGTACCTTGTCAGTAATTTTACTGAAACATGCTCTGATGTATATTGTTCTGGATAATTGGCAAAAATGTCAAGCAACATGAACAGTGATTTGAATGAAATGGGACTGTGAACCACTGTCACAAATGTATTTTCTTTCTTTCGTTCACAGCTATAGACTGGAAGACAAACCTCCACTGAGTCATGCATTTCAATCAGCCGTGAACTCAAATCCTTCATATCACGAGCTGATTGACACATATGGTACACATTTCATCACACAAGTGTCCCTAGGAGGCAAAATAAAAGCAGTCACTTCTGTCAAGACCTGCGAGGCATCAATGAAAGGACTAACAGCAACCGAAGTAAAAGACTGCTTGGAAGTCGAGGCTTCTGCTAGCTTTGCAAACACTGCCAGCATTGAGAGCATGATCAAACACTGTCAGGGTAAGAAGAAAAAGTTCGGCCATAGCCAAAGTTTCAGTAGCGAGTTTAGTGAGCGTACCTCAGAGGTCATTGGTGGAGACAAAATTGATGCTGATGTGCTCTTTAATGACCAATCAAATCCTTCTGTCTACAACCACTGGGTTGACTCACTGAAAAGCACACCAGATGTGATCAAATACAACTTAAGGCCTCTGCACACGATACTTCCAGAGAATCATCCTGCCAGGGCCGGACTGAAGCAGGAGGTGGAGAAGTACATTAAGAACAACGCAGTGTTGAGTCAATGCTCTGAAACCTGTACGATTGGCCACAGAGCCAAAAAGAGGGATCCTTGTGCTTGTGTTTGCAACAGCAATCAGAATCTTAGGTCAAACTGCTGTCCGGCTGGGAAAGGTCTTGCAACGTTGAAGGTCTTTAGACTTTATGCTACAGGGCTGTATGGTGATGTGTGGACTGAGACAGATGGCTCAGTGGAGGTGAAATTTGGGGATCAGACTGAGCGAACTGCCATCATCGATGACAATGACAATCCTAGATGGCCGGAGACATTTCAATTTGGACCCATCACTATCAACTTGGCAAATGAACTTGTGTTTAGTGTTTATGATGAGGATAGTTACTGGAATAGTGATCTGCTAGGCAAGTGTTCAGTTGTTTTGCGAGCCGGGGCTGAGGTGAGAGATTCTTGCATGTTTGATGATGGTACCCTATTCTTCTCCTATGAAGCAGAGTGTGCACCAAGTCTTGGTGGTCAGCAATGTCAGGAATACATACCCTCCCCTATGAGTCCGTCCTTGGCCAAGGTCTTTTACTCTAGAAATGGGGTCCTGCTTGGAGACACTGGGCAGAAGTAGTCGGGGTTAGGTCAGCACTTGACCTGAGAAGTCTAGCCTGTTTCCCTATCTTTGTTTGCAAAAATAATTATGTTAATCCTCAGATGTAATCCAATATGTGTGTGATAATCGGTTTCATAATCAAACCTTTTACTTTGCTTCTTTCTTCATCGTTACTAAATCTGCCAATAAAGCATCAGCAAAGACAACAACGGTGTCCTGATTTTATGCATTCCAAAATACTTTGTGTTGTTTACATGTAATATTGAAATGATGATTAATGCAGGAGCATGTACAAACCTTATAAACTCTGTTTGGTTACAAAGTACGTCAAAAATGTAAACCAATTCAAATACAATAGAAACATAATAACTTAACTCTTACTTTATGTTCACCAGTGTATTGAAATAAAAAGTATTTTTTTAAAGAAAGGCCGAATACTAAACTTAGAGAGTCATAAATTGTGTTTGAGTGGGAGAAACAGAACCCAAAATACAAGGAAGAGAAACAGATAGTTAGAGTTAAAAATATATTATTATTATTATTATTATTAACGCAATAAAGAGGGTTGTATACAAGAAAAGTCAATCCAAAACAGTTATTCTACTAAATATAATTTAATTTGAGTCCTCAGTATCATTATATCTAATTGGCAACATAGGAACTAAAATGCAGAGACAAGAACGGTGGCATGTATAAATAACTAAAACTATATTAAAATGAAAGCCATGCAAAGAGGCAGATTATTCCAAAAATAGCAAAAGCAAAGACACACAGAAATAAAAAAGAAAGAAGACACTGAAACCTAATATAATTATCTTTACAGTAGTAAGAGACACATTATTTCATGGCCTTACAGTACATATGCGCAGTCAAATAGAGCAACAGACATTTGGCATCATGTTCTGGACAGACTGTGTGTCCCAAAAGGTGAACTGAATGAACTGGTGGGATATTATTTCATGGAAATGTACCAACTTGATTTCATTTGACAAATAAAATGCATTGATTGATTGATAGATACTGTAAGTCATGGTCATAAACAGGCAGTATGTTTGTGGAGGCTTTACATGTAGCCTTAATCTGACTGAAAAACGAGGAGGTGATCTGACTAACAAGGCATTGGTGGCACATTAATAATAATAATAATAATAATAATAATAACAATATTAATAATAATAATAATAATAATGCATTTTATATTAAAGGTGGGGTAGGTATTTCACTTCAGAAGCACTTTTTGTTATATTCCATGGAATGCTCTTAACATCCCGATAGCAATGAATAAATTAAATGCTTTGACAATAAATCCATAAAAAAATTTCAGCTCTGGAAGCAGAGAATATGAGGGTAGATATTGATTGATATAGAAGACCAATCATCTGAGCCGGCCCGGCTAAAATAACTGGATGGCCTACCTGCCTGTCAGCCTTCCATCTCGTGCACAAACTTATCTCGTGCCCTCATTGGTCATGTGCGCGTTCGTGTGTGTGAGACTGCCAAGGGCACACNAAAGGCTTTAACCTGTTGAGCCCCAAGCCTGTTTTTCAGGCCTCAGGCTCGAAAATGACATGCCCAGAACAAATGACTATATCTTCCCTTCTAAAAGGGACCCTTTTAGAAGGGAAGATATAGTCATTTGTTCTGGGCATGTCATTTTCGAGCCTGAGGCCTGAAAAACAGGCTTGGGGCTCAACAGGTTAAAGCCTTTGGTTATGTAGCTAAGCATTGCTTCTCCTTGGCTTCTCTTCAGCAAACATCACAGTAGTTACAGACAGGTGCTCCCCCTCACCCAACCAACCACTGAGATAATGACCAATACTGAGACATGCACAGAATGTGTCAGACTGCCATCCAGCAGGCTGTTTCAGGTGCTGCCTCCATTGTGCGCTGACACTTCCATTCATCTCGCTACCTTCATAATAATGACTTGTTACCAAAAGAAAGAGACTGAGGCGAGGTGGGAGGTGGGAACATGTATAAATATATCCTGTCTATAAATACTACCTCAGTTTCTGAGATATTATTCACAAAGCTACAGTACAGGGCTCTTTTGGTGAGAGAAAAGGGCAGGGGGAAAACATTGAGATGTGAATTAATTTCCTCTAAAGCCACTCCTTTAGAAATGCTAGCAGTCATTCACCATGATATACAGATTAGACTAGAATATGATGAAATGGCTCCATTACTCAATAACAATGAAATATTTTGTCTTTACAGTTTGGCTGACCAGTGCTTTTTTCAATTTGTTTCACTTTATCCAACACTGATAACAAGTCAGTAATGCAATCCACACTTTAAGTTGGGTTTCTGTTTGGTTGATTGGTGGCCAGGAGGGCACAACTGTTTCTAAATTAGATTAAATTGAAGGAATTCTGATGGTAAGAAGCTTTTTTTTTTAAAGAAAATGTATTAGAAATGTATCGGCTATTTTATGTTGTATCTTAAACTAATGATTATATGTGGAGACCTAACATCTGTTGATCTTATCAGTGTGTGATGTCTCTCGTGCTTCAAAGCCTGCTGTGATGTAACCGTATTGGGTTGCAGGGAAATGTAATTACCCCAGAGGAAGGCAGACAGTCAGTTACTGGTGAGGTTAATGTCATCAGAAATGGGACAAATCCACAGCCCAAATTCTACAGAGAGACGATCACATAAGCTGTGCTGGTTTATGGCATTTTCCATTCTGAACTTGTTGAAATGAATTACTGTAGTATGTTGACATTTGGACTGTAATGTGTTTGGAAACAGAAGATTCTTTGTGGAGACAAAGCAGGAAGATGGTTCCGTCTTATCCCGGGGTTGAGCCAGATGTGCCAAACTGGGCAGATGTTTGCCCCAAAGGCCTGGATGCAAACTGTGGCTCTGCTTACTGATCCATTCCCATGTTGTTGTGTTGGCTTTGAGCATTAGTTCCACTGTGACTTGGTTCTGGATGAATCTTTTTGGTTAGCCTGTTTGGCGTACAGACCATTTTTCTGTTTTTCTTCAACTTATTCCAAAAAGATAAAGTGTAGCTGACTGTTTTACACCATCATTTCTCAGAAAGATACACCATAACTAAACAAAATCAGTCGGCCGAGGCCGAGCGAAAAGAGCCCTGGTTTGTCTTGATAGTCTGTCTGCGAAACATGATTACACAGTTAACCTCTTGCCCACAATTAAAACAGATCTTAACTCTTCTTTGTTCCTATCAACATTTGCGTGCCAATAATGGGCGACTTGTTTTAAGGAGCCTACATGTGACCAGCTTTTTATTGAATAATTACTGCAGGGAGGCTGGTAATTAAAACGGCAATGAAAGAACTCAATGGAATTTCAAGCAAAACCACGAAAGAGCAGCAAAAGCTAAGAATCTGCTTTGAAAACAACTTAAAGAAATTATGAAAATAATCTACGTATTTCTTTAGTTTTCAGTAAAAATGGATGGGTCTCTCTCCTCTGATATTAAGGCTGAGCCGGTGTGTGTAACCGCAGTAGAGGCAGATCTTGATCCATGTCGCCGTTTTTTCAGCCAAGGTGTTCATTTAAAAATAATGAGGTCTTGTTGACAAGGTTAAGCAGCTAAGTGAGCAGTGCATTATTAACAGCATACTGTATGGGTCAGTGAACGAACATGGTTTGACATGACTGAGTCTTACCAATTATTAACTGCATAGAAACACCCGGCGTCTTTATGTTTTGTTTTGGTTTGGTTAGTCGTGTGAAGCCTAGACTGTGCTACTTTTACAGTGTTTTTCTCTCTTCTCCAACTCTGTTGCTTAACACAGGATTATTGTTTTCTCTCTTCCTTAAGGCCGTGGCCCAGTCCTAAACACGATGCTTTGCGTTTCTTTTTGGATTCTAAAATGATCTTTGTTTCTCCATATCCTCATTGTAATTTATAACATGATAATTTTGGAAGTCTATGGTGTATTGCTACACTACAATGGTCCTGACCCTTGCACCCTTACAGACACTGTGTACAATTCTTGCAGTATTCCAGTTTCGTACTTGACAGTTATTTGAATTTTAAATTTGCATTGATTAGATGCTGTAAAAGACTACTGTCCATACTGAGTATTGTTTACAACACGATTCTATTTTGTCTGAGACTAAGCCTGACGTGAAAGTTAAAACACATGTGTATTCTAATTTGTAACTGTAATGTATGGTGTTTTAGTTTAGTTTAGTTTAGTTTATTTATTTATAGTGTCGTGGACAGTCCCCATCGATGAACTGTCACAAAAACAGTAAATGGTGCAGCTTTAGCCGACATGGCTAATTTCCAGCTGTTGTCCCCGGCCAGATGGTAATAGACACCCTTAAAATTACATTATATCAACAGCATTAGTTATAAGAAAATATATAAAATAAAATAAAAAAGAGGAAAGACAAGTATACAGGTGTGAGGATAAAAGAGAACAATAAACACACATTACTGCATACAGTAAATGTCACATATAGCACATCACAATCACATAACAGAAACGAGGGGCAACATCCATGATCACAACATGTAACACTCACGCCATACTCAACACAGACTAGTGTGTGCAGGTATAGTTCTCAGTGAATCATATTTTTAAGTGAGCTGTGAAGGTGGTATGTGTGTGTACAGGACTGTCTCAGAAAATTAGAATATTGTGATAAAGTTCTTTATTTTCTGTAATGCAATTTAAAAAAACAAAAATGTCATACATTCTGGATTCATTACAAATCAACTGAAATATTGCAAGCCTTTTATTATTTTAATATTGCTGATTATGGCATACAGCTTAAGAAAACTCAAAAATCCTATCTCCAAAAATTAGAATAGTTCCTCAGACCAAGTAAAAAAANGGCTCAGGTGAGCTAAAGGACTCTCTGAGTGTTTAGATAGTTAACTTTAGTCTAAGTTATCTCAGTGGGTCTCAAACGGTTTGGTCACAAATTATTCAAAAGATTATTTCCATGGCACACCTTCATATGATCATTATAGTTATAAAAAAAATAAGAGAATAAAGGAAAAACAGTTATGAAATACTATATGGCAGTTAAACAAGAATACAGTTTGAAAGGGGAGTGATTTGTAAAATATCCATAAAGAAAAAGAACATCTGCTTACAGTTGTGTTTCATCTGGGTGTTGAGAGATGTATCCATAGATCTCTTAATGTTGCTCTCAAAGTGCACCAGATTGATGCTTTTAACTTCAATATTTAAAAAAAATCTTCCC